GATTTTTCAATGCTTATCATTCAAAAATTATTCATGTGTATGTCTTTCACAAATTTATGATATTAATTTAGTTACGACTTTATTGCAAATGTCCTTTCGAAAGTTCATGTTTGGGTTACGATGAAATGGTTACACGGAAAATACTGGAAAGGGGGTACGTTATGTCGGTGGTGATTTTCAGAGAGGGAAGGTCGCTACGAGACCGAACCTTGAAGAGCTCTGTCAAATGTGTTCGACGGTTACTTGCATGGAGGGACGAGGAGAGTTGATCGTATGGTGTATCGATATCCAAACAGAGAAGGCGAGTCATTGTGGTATGAGGAATTGCTCATAACCAGTTAGGAGTAAGTTGATGCCATTCTCGAATTGTTTAATGTGAATAACATTTGCAAAGCAGAGATGTTTGTTAACACCGAGGAGGTCCGGAGATGGCCAAACATATGGTATCCACGGTGGGGTGGAGTATATGAGCATCATCCCTACCAAAGTTACCACGATCATCAATCCTACCATTAATACCAAGAAGGAGTTGGAGTTCATCATCATCAATCCTTCTAATCATACGAAAAAGAATCCCAACGGTACCATGACAATCAACAAGAAGACTACTAGTACCAACCTGAGTACAATTTCCATGGAGGTAGCGGTAGTTATCACAACTACCATTACAGAGCTGATGATGGTGCCTTTCATGATCTAGATGAGATGGAAGATGCGTTGCCAGCTACAGTTAGTGACCATGAAGATGAAGAAGAGGAAGACAACGTCGGTGCAGACAGTTTCAACCCTTTTGAAGGTGTTGATGATTCAGGACCAGATTCAGACTTAGATGAGGTGTCCTGTGACCGTCTGCCTATCTCGTACTACATGGACATTCTAAATGAAAATAGGTATGTTGATACCAACATGGAGCTGCCAGAGGTGCCAACATGGAATCCAACCACTGGGTTTAAGAAGTGCGATTAAAAGGCATGAAGTCTTAGTGGGCACTTGAGGAGGTGGCTTCGTTCCAAGTACTCGATGATGTGGTGTCATGTCGAGTACTCGGGCGGGGATCGTTGTGCAACTCCAAAGGGTGAGGCACACACCACGCCTCCATCGTCCGCACCTCGGGCACATGAGGCCTTGCCCTAGTACTTTTGTTAGGCCTTCTTTGGTATGACAGTGGAGGTTAGGGACATCAATAGATACCCTAGCAGTAGGCAGTGTAGGCATCGGCGGGTATCTATGATGATCATGCCCACGCGATCTAACACAATTAAGGAGACTATTGGTGATCTTCCTTAGGAGCGACACCTCTCTTCCCCCAAAGTCTCGCCACTATGGGCTAGAGCGTGTATATGCTCGACCCCATCGACCTAAACCGCACCAATTTACCAAGTTAGGCAATTAAAAGTAATGAAATGCATTACAACTTATGTGTCCATAAAAGTAATGAAATTGAATTGAATAAACGGAAAATGGCTTACCAATGCACCATCCAGAGTCATGTACAAATGTACCTAACCAATTGTGCACGATTTTGGTTCATGTAAGGGTCATTATAACCCACTGCATCCACCGCTCGAGGAGTGACAATGTCTTCATCTTGTCTATTCCACAACTCGATGTATGGTGCCAACTTCATGGGCCAATCACGAGGACCTTGGCGACCATCTCTTTCGTGAAAATCCTTCTAGCTATCGGGTGGATCTGAGGGTAAGCATTGATCACGACCATATTGTTGTAAGACTCGATCGGGCATGTGTCACTCCACAAGATGGTGGAAAATGAGTGGGACTCTCGTGCACCATTGTTGGGATGAATCGAGAATTGTCTCACGTGCCACTCCACCACGTTGGAAGGGTACGAATCGAATAAAAGCTACAAAAGATATTACCTTAAATAAGTACTACAAAATCTAGATTACACGTCCGAAATAGCAAAGGAAGAAGATTTATTATGATGGTTACCTTTGTTTCCCAAAGTCTATCCAACCTCCTACGATACTCTGGCAAGGTGTGCTCTGGCTGGTTGTTGCAGTTGTGGCTCCAATCCACCTTATTCATAGTAGACAATCATCAAATGTTATAACTAACCAATTAGTTAAATAACTATCAACTCATGAAGTGCAAAAAAAGAAGCAATTAATATGTGTGGGATTGAGAAGTTTACCTACAACCATAAGCTTCGAGTCGTAGTGGATGGTCGGGACCCCATTTGTCTCCGAGGCAAGAGTAAGGCTTTAGGTATGGCAGATGCTCCCAAGCCCACATTTGGACGATGAACATCGCCCCTCCAATCTCCTTCACCTCTTTTCTAGTAGCATTGAGGCAAGTAGATGCCCAACTCAAGTTCCCCATATCCTCCCAATGACCAAGGAGGATCTTCAGCCATGAGCAGCTAAACAAGTAGTTTGACTTTTTGGGGAAGAACACTCCTGCTATCATGTCGATGAGTTAGACACGCACATAAATCTCCTTGTCCCTCTCATCACTTTCCTCGGTGAGGGGGTTTCCATGCTCCTCTGGGCTGTGCTTCCTCTTGATCTCCACTATCAATAGTCAGTAAAATACACTACGGGAAAGTTACGTATAAAATACCTACGGGTATTTTACTTCGTCTCTATTCTAATGTTTCGTTTAATAGTACGTTAATAGTCATAAATTAATAGAATTATTTATTTTAAAAATAAGTTAATAAATAATAGTAAAGTTAATAATTTAATTCATTAAATATGAATATGAAACATGTTATACGGGTTTTATACGTGTTTAATATGAGAGTCATCAAGTGAACAGACAAAAATGAAACGACTTGACAATAATACGGATACGGAAGTTTTGAACGGGTAAAGTATGTACATGTACATATACGTGTATTAAACGTAGTATTTACTAACTATGAATCAAGTGATTAATACTTGGTTCTTCTTCAATGATGGTTTCCCATCCTCCGCAACGCCACCGTCTGGCTTGTTTGGCACGAACAACCTCTAAACAGTCTTGAGCAAATATTGTCAATCGTTCATATGTTCGTCATATGAAGGTGGTGGATGATCGCTCATGCACACCGCATCGCCATCGATGGGCAAATGTGTTAGGATGGCGATGTCCTTTAATGTGATGGTGCACTCTCCTTCACGAAAGTTAAAGTTGTGTGTCTCCTTCAGCCATCTTTCCACCAAGGATGTGATGAGTTGGCCGTCGATCTTAATGCCGACAAAGTACCTCATCGTCTCCAACCTTGTCCTTTTGAGATAGGGCAAGATAGCGTCGTTATATGAGAGCACATTGCTCGTACTCCTATAACGGATAATATGGTGTGCACTCTAGCAAAGAAATTACAACCATAAGCGTCCCCTTACTCTTTATAGGCCATAACTTCATACTTGATTAAACTCATATAAAGCTAGGAGCTTTTCCATCGCTCCCATCTTGCCAAGCAGTCTCTTGTGATGAATAGATTCAAAGTGCTTATATTCCTAGATTCGCAAATCCTCCAGCTGTAGGGCACGCACTAGTTAATAGCATTTGAAAGATATACACATAAATCAATGATACCAAACAATTGAAATTAACAAAATGAATACATATATTTTTTGAAAGATATACACATACACATAAACATAATTATAAATCCATTATACTATTTTGTAAATCATATTGGTTGTTTTCAAAGAATTAAGCCAATACAAGTGCACTCGTTATACTCTTAGGAGAGGTATACATCTCCTTAGAAACACAGTCTTTTGATAAATAAATAAAAAGGGAATTCGAGGATCACTTAAAACCCGATTTTCCAAGAAAATGGGAGGATCATAATGATCGCTGAAGACCCCATTTCCTTAAACATGCATCTTTTTATAAAGAGTCTAAGTAAGTATTACATTGTATTACCCAAAATCATAGAAAATAATCAATATGATTCATCATTAAAAAAATTATTTTATAAACCACTAAGTACGTTAACAAAGTGTAGAGCGGAGCACGTTACCGATTGAGCGCGCCCTTATTTAGTCCGTGCGTTGAGTATTTAGCAACATCCCCAACAGTACGTTAACAAAATAAAATATGACAAAAGTTGAATAATTATATATACCTGGAAATCGTTCCAAACATCCCTTGTACGATGGTTAGCTTGGTCGTACATAACACTTGCATCATGAGGTCATTGGTCAAGATAATACATTTGATCATTAAAATCCACGTCTGGCCCAACCTACGATAACATAACAATAACAAAATAAATTAATTATTATATGGATTAATTAACAAGAATTATAAGAACAAAAAAAAAGAGTTGAGTAAGTACCGCTTGATAGTCATCATAATAAACACCCTCTTGATGGTATCAATCTTGATCCATTTTTTGTGGAAGGCGGACAGAGGTTCGATGTGTTTTGGAGGAAAAAACTAAGAAATGTTTTCTGATTGCAGTTCAGACTTAGCCGCAACCAACAGACTACAATTTCTTAAGTTTTGGGTGGAGAGGTGGATGGGTTGAGAGAAAATCTTAGAGAGAGAGAGGTTGGTTTGGTGTGAAGAAAATGGAGAGGAGATGGGGGGTTTTATAGCGACAAACTGTGGGGTGGGAGCGGTTTGGGCGGGAACAAAAATTAAAAATCGTGGGAGCGGGGGTGGTTTTCGATTTTCTAAAAGAAACCGTGGCTAGGGGGCGCGGTTTCTACGAAGATGACGCGGATCGAAGCCACGGTTAGACGGATTGCTGAGTTGGCTGGCGATCGACGTCATATCGTGTGGGGAGGGATCCGACAGTCTGTCTGACCGCCACTCCTACCCATGGTTAGTGGGCGGAAAAAAACGCAAACCGTGGCCCTCCTGCGGTCCGTGCGTAAACCGCGACCCCCTGTGGTTTATATCTAATGGTGGTATGAATGGAATTATTTCGAAAATGGTGGTATTTTCGGAATTATTTAGTTTTATGGTGGCATCTCAGGAAAAAAAAATTCTTAATTATTTTGGCCGAAACATGGGGTAAGTATCAATTTGATCATCAAACTCCTTAGATGTGTTAGATTGACACCAAATTCTTATTTCGAGGTAATCACAGTACTAAATTGTACTTAATTGAAACTCCATTGGCTACATCTTCTCATCATTGTAAACAAACGTTATAAAATTTCTTAATTGGCTAACAAGTCAGGTTTCCAGGCACCAAACCGCCAGTTCGAATATCATTCTACTTCTAACTCAATTCATAGTAATGGCAATGGGTTGCGGTAGGGCAGGGCGGATCTGGTAATACCCGCCAAACATGTCGGATACAAAGGGTCAGATCGGATCAGTTGAGAAATTGTCATCACTCCATTCAAGGATACCCAGCACACCCTCTAGGCTACTGTCCTCAACAGCACAGCAAAAGCAAGCTAAACTTGCTATCATCACATAGGGTATAGAAAGAGTGGCTATTTCCACTCATTTCTCTCCATTTCATTATAGTCTTCAAATCCATTAATTCATGTGAAACAAAACAAAAGGCCACAGTTTCTGAGTTCTCAAATTCAACTCTGTTCTATCTCTCTCCTCTCCCGCAATCCCAGATGGTCGGGGGGGTTTCTACACTTGTAAAGACTCCCTACATCTTCATGCCTTCCCTCAATCTTTAGAAGTTATGACCAGCAGCCCCAATGCACCAATAAGTATATACTGTCCAACAACAACAAAGAAATGACATTAGTCTAATTTTCATCATCAACAGTAACGAGAGAGAGAGAGGGGCCATCAACAAAAGCAGAAAAAACCTTGATAATAGGCTTCTCAGTCATGATGATTGTCACCCAACCAACATACGGTAAGAATCTGCAACCAAACACCACGTTCGAAATTTGTCTCAGTTCCAAGTTATGATCCATCAGCCAGATTTCCGGTAACCGAAACTCAAACAGATATAATAGTCCATACAAAGAGATCAACATTTGTAATCATATTCAAGTCAACAGGCAGGAATCAAATTATAAATAGGCGTGCACAGATCAATTTAGTTCTCATAAATTTTGGGTTCCGAGTTTTCTACTAAGCACTTACCCGACCGCCCTGCCCATTATATGATGCCGCTGCAGCCATAGCTGACCTTGAGCGTACAAAAGCCTATCATCCCCATAATTATTGTCACCTGCAGCAGCGGATGTACAGTTAGTTACTGAAACCCACCGATTACATCATTTGAAATGCATGAAGTCATATACTCTGAAGTAATCCCAGTAAACAAAATAATAACAATAGCAGCACCTTTGGTCAAAACTTCAACTTCCTCAGTTTCTTGTCTTTCATGAACCTGCATAACGAGTAGATACCAACTGGTACTGATCAAACAAACTTCTGGTATTACTACAATCACTCCTACAATGAACTGAAAACAGCTTTACAGAGCAAGTACAAATGGAATTCCCACTGATATTGTGAAATGAATTTATACCTTAATCACACGGTGGACTATCGGAATTTCCCTGCCCTAGACAATAATCCAAAAGCACAAGTTAGTCGCATATATTATAAAAAACAGGCTAAAAGTGCATTCATAGCGGAACCAATAGGCTCAAAGTGGCTGCTGAGATAAATAGACAATAAGTCCCTCAAACAATTCTATAGACCCAAAGTGATAACTTCTTTCATTTTTTTGCAGTCAAAGCAACTTCATTTGGTTATGCTCAAGGACAGATATGCAGAAAAGATGATTTAGATTGTCCTCGGGCTGAAAATAAAAGGGCTGATTTCGAAAAGCATGTTGGCATATGAGTATTCCACTAGGCTCTGGGATCAAGAAAACGAGGAACTCACTAAGATAAAAACATGCATTGAGAAAATTAATTCAATGAGCCAATAACTCAAAAGGATCATTTTCTTCCAATTAAATACAATGGAACTAAATGCTCGGGTTTTATATTCACTATATTCCTTTCCATTAATCAGCTAACGAAGATTTCAGCAAGACGAACATTTTTCAGTCTCTTGCCATCATGCATTGCTGCCAATTGTAAGATAAGTACACATCCTTTAGATGCAGTAACAGTTAAGAGGATCTTACATCAACATTGAAGACAACTATCTCGCCGGTACGGATAGGATCGTTGCTCATGTGCAGAAACAAAATATCACCCTGAAAAGAAACTCAAATTGTCAAAGGATTTTCAATAAGCACAATAACGTGCTGTTATACATAAAGCAGTGAGTGGGGTCTATCATGTGAAAGGTGATCTGGACACTTAGTGGGAAGAAGAATTTAATCTTTTCAATTTTATTGAGAAACAAACTTTAGAGTTCCAAACATCATTTTCTCGTCTCAATTGCAATTGTCACTAAAACCCCTTGTTGTATTTAAGTATCAGCTACAACAAGTGCAATAACAAAAAATACTAACACAAGTCATGTAAGCATGAACAGCAACCACACTAGTTATGCTAGCATTAGATAATCTATAAGTATAAACACATTACACATTGGTCAGGGAAAATTCCATCCAAAAGAAAACACTTCTTCAAATCTGTTTAGTTCAATTAACCTTCTCAAGATACCGAAACATTTTAAGGTTTGCCTACTTCCAACAGACATCATCCATATAGTAATATTGCCTCAATCATTCTCTAAACAGAAGCTACCTTCTCAAGAAGTTGACACTGATGACTAAGGAAGTAATTGGCAAGATCTATTTCGGAAGAAGAAAAATAGTCATTTTACCATCAGCGGTCCCAAAACAGGTAACTCCTATCCTAATATTCACCCTTGGCTGTACCAAGACCAAACTGGTTACCAGGTTGCATTATGGTAAGTAATCATTCTTCCCGTACCAGATTTTACTTACAGATTCCGGACACAAGAATATGCAGACCTACAAAGTTGTACCTAGAGACATAAACAACAAACTCGACTCCTCAAAATAGGTGCTTAGCTGGTCATTCCAATTGGATTTCTGTTGAGTGAATATTGCTGGCACTCAAAGGAAAGACAAGGAATTTCTTGTTTAAAATATAACAAAGAATAATTTTCTTTGGAGCATCATAGTGTTAGAGGGATACTATCACATTGAAGGAACATAATATAATTTCTAAAGAAGGCTTTTCCATGGTAACTGCAAATAGAAACATATCAGTGAAACATTCAGGTACAGTCAGATCAGTAAAAAAATTGCATACCCTTTTGAATCCTGGTTCCATACTTCCAGAAAGCACAACCACCACTGGAGATTCGCTGCCAGTGAAGCACATTAATGCTTTCCATATTATTAGCGCAGAGGTAACAATCATACCTGTAAATAAGATGAGAAGTTAGCAAGTAAAAAAACACAATCTCATGGAAACAAAATGAGCAATGACTAAGGTAATAGGTGAAAGATGCATCTTAAGATCCATAGTCTCTGAAATCCATGAAATTCAACTCAGGTACAGGTACTGATCTTTGGTTTCAACGTAACTGTACTCACTTGTAAAATAAAAGTGTAGTCTCACATGCTTTCAGCATACAAATCGATACAGAACCAGTAAGAAACAATGAATGGAGCAAAGTCAAGCAGTGATGAAATGAGTCTCGCATACTTAAGCATCTATGCAATGCCATACTAATGCAGGATATAAGTTCCTGCAAGGACCACACATAGCTTTTCAGGGACACACCTGGCCATACTCTACTTAGCTTTTCAGAAGCTACAGCCTAAAATCAAATGGTAAACATTCGCATGTTACAGGTAAGGTCAAGGAAAGTGAGGCTGACATTAGTTTGGGCATTTCCCAGGAGTTTGCTGCTCTACAGTATGACACAATTCTAAAACCAGAACGATCTAACACTTGCTCCCCCTGCTTCAAAAGCTAAACCACAGTCTCAATACTCTTGGTCACATATGCATTTAGTAAAACTGTCAAGGATCATCCAACATACCGTGAGAAAGAAGGGAAGAAACCCAATTCAACAAAAAACATAAATTTCCAATCTTACAGCCATTATTCGGTAAATTCTCATCCAGACGAGAACCCCAGCCTTGCATTCTCCGAAACCACAATACAGCGATACAATATTTGGATCAAGGCTTACAAACCCAAAATTCAATTAAAAGTAGAATGGAGAATCCATGTAATTCAAACAAATTGTCTTCCATTCCCCCGCATGCAATTGGGCAATTAGGCAGTCAAAATCACAAACTGCGGAGGGAGATCACAAAAGTAAATTGAAGTCGAGGTGAGCAAGATTTACCAAGACTAACGCCCTGCGTAAGGAGCTGGCGGACCTGGATGGACTTGATGGAATCAACGGTATCACCGATCCACCCCATTCTCTCTACTACTGCTGCTTCTTTTCTCGTCTTTGTCTTCCCTTTTTCTTTGCGCTTCGTAGATTTTACGTTTTTATTTCACCTCTCTACTGACTACTCTAGGGCTTATCGCGGCTTTTCTTTGTTTTCTTTTTTTAAGTTCCTTGTCTCTGCCGCTCTTATAACGTAATTACCTTTTTCTGTTGTTATTTTTCCTTTGTATTTGATTGTGTTGCCATTTGTTTTGGATTTGGGTCTACTAAACTTTAAATATGGTCACTGAAATTTTGGTTCATCAATTAGTGGTCATCATATTATATATTTTAATGAATTTTTCGAGGAACTTCGAAATATCTAATACAAAAATTCTTGTCATCTCTACAAGGGGTTGTTTGCTTGTGGGATTTGGGTATTGTATTTGGCATCCAAATATCAAGTATTATGTGTTTGATAAAAAAAATATTATTTGTTGAGGTATACAAATTCGTAGGGCCACGGATTTGGGTTGTTTTTAGCACCAAATCCGTGGACCCCACGTATTTGCAAATACCACATTATGGAAGGCAAATTTTTGAGACTCAAATACCAAATGAACTAAATCCATGATAAAAATTCAACTAAACAAACAATGTTATGTTTCAAATATAAAATGCAACAAATCCATCATAAATTCAAAGGTTTTCAAAACTCAAGATCTTTATTTTCACATCCAACAAGCAAACCAGCGCACCAATTTTTCTCTCTCCATCGATCTCTTTTCTCTTTAGACAATCTCCAACAAAGGAATTGGAAAATTTAAGAAAATGAACACCGAACGCAAGGACAATAACTTCTCTCCTATAACAAGCTTTTCTCGTAACAAACACATCCGAAAACCGACCCATCCGTCCAACCCAACTCACCTGTATTAATCGCTAAAACGAAGGTTTTGGATTGGATGAGAATTTTCTTTTGTACAACCCGCCTCTTTTGGGTTGGGTTTGAATTTTACATTACACAACCCGTAGAACCCGACCCAACCCGTGTTCCAACTATTGGTAGGAGTTCGTATCCAAAAAATATATATGTCGTATATAGCCATACTTATGAGAAAATTAAGATATTTTGCTATGTTTTTCTCTCATGGTCTCCCAAATTTAACGCATTCTTCGGCTTAAAGTTTAGACATAAATTTAATATAGTTATGATTCACGTAATCCTTTTTCTTGTGTACAATTTTAATCGAGTAACATATTATGGACGCATTCGCATATAAGCTTATATGGGTATGAGTTAAACCCGAACTACTTTAGATAGGATAACGAATATGCACTATCCCCTAACCCAACCATTGCCATCCCTAGTCCCTCCGCCCACTGCGCAGGAGCCAGCAAAATTGCAATTGAAGTGGTTCTGGGGAGAAACTCCATGTACTAATGGTTTAGATAAGATATGAGCACCATAGTTAGATTGGCTAAACAGAACCCCCAACACTTGCCTTAAACTTACCTTCAACCGTGAATCAAATATGTAAACGAGGCCATATGTACAGGTTCATTGTATCATCCCCCAGCACACAACTCACTTCACTTGTACAACAGCTAAACCTCACAAAACTAACTAACTACACTCTCACTCTGGCTCTAGTCGCTTCCCCCATATCCCCTGAAGTAATAAAGCAAGGGAGATTGGGTAACCCCAAATACTTCAACACGAATGGTATGGGTACATCGACAGTTGTTAGTCAACTTCGGCTACAAAAAAACACTTGGCTCTAAGTAAAAGTATCCTCCCTGTCCCCTTCGACGGCATCGCCTTCCTCCAAGTTGCTGAACTCCAAGAAATGGGTGGGCCTGTGTTCCTCGTGATAGTACTCCCTCGGCGCCCCGAGCTTTATCCCATACTTCATGCTCGTCGTGTGCTTGACGCCCATGAAATTGTAGTTCCATGGGCCGTTATCAGGAACCTAAACACGTACACCAAATAAACCAAAGAACATCATCACCATTGCTATGTAGTACTAGGTAGCACAACAGAAATTCTGAACAACGAACTAGCAACTCACCATGTAGAATCCGAGGAACCGATCGCTCAGCAGCATCTGCACCTTCTCATAGTGCGTAGGGAGGTAACCATGAGGGTTGCTTCCAGTGTCCTTGTTCACTCTTCCCCAATCGTATCCACTCGGTGTAAGCTTGTAAGCCGTTAGTGAGCAGGACCCAGGAGTGAAACTGCATGTCAAGATTATGCACTTCTCCCCATCCCACTGCTTGTTGTTCTCTAGGATACGGGCATGATTCGTCAGGTCCTGCAAAGAATGAACACAATTTTACATGCAAGTCAGACAATTGATCAGCAGGTAGCAACATCTACTGGCTATAGTTATCAAATAACCGACTTCTCAATTGAATACTTAACAATTCCACCTTCTACCTTTTCAATCTAAGTTCAAAATGATTTCAAAAGGAACCCACCTTTTCAATCTAAGTTCAAAATGATTTCAAAAAGGAACCCACTTGGCTTAACCGTTTCTAAATTTCCAAGTCTACCCATGCACATCTATTGAACTACTGAAGTCCAGGAGACCATCACTTCACACCACTCACATACTTCGGTAATTACATCTACCCTAGAACAGTCAAACATATACATCTCACAATCACTCACCTAATGTGATAATTTTTTCACTGCAAATATTATTTGCTCTAAAGAACACTAAGAGAAAGCAACAAATACCTGAGGGGATAACTGAGGGAGCTCATTTGGCTGTGTGTGCATCCATCCCAACGGCTCCAAATCCCCAAGGAAATCATGGTCAGGAAGAGCCGAAGGAAGATGAACCTGTTGATGAGTTCCCCACTGTGGTGGCATAGCAATACAACGGATTTCCTTCACCTGTGGGTTATCTGGGGGACTTATACCATACAAATACCCAGCGATTTGAGTTCTTAGATCCGCAATGCAGATGAACTTCTTTAAAATATTTTTGGGCATGATGTAAGTATATCCAGTTTCCTGCAGAATCCAGAAGCTTTCATCATGTTAGGAAGCAAAAAGGATCATATGCATTAAGGTAATACAGACAAGACATAATATAGATCAGACCTTAATATCCTCTGAATTCACGTATATGTGATTAACTCTGAGATAAAGATTGGTGGCTGAAATAGCTCTGACGCGCCAGTCTGTCTTCGAACCAAATGCTGCTTGCTCATATGGACTAGTGGTAGTGACAATGAGTTCATCACCATGCACATTTGTGGTCTTTGTTGTGACAGCTGTCAGTTGGCTAGCCTCCTTGGCCTGAAACTCACAGAAATCAATCTTTACCGACCCCCAGCAACAGTACCAAGCAAATGTAATATTGAGAGACCCTCTGAATGTATTTGGCAGCACAAGAGTAACTATGCGATGGAAGTGAATACGTCTATCGTTTTTCACGGACATGAAAAACAAATAGCATGTGCTTTGAACCTAAAGAGCACCATGCAAGAAATGGAGAGAAATATTACCTGTTTCTCAATCTCAGCTATCTGCTGTCGTTGTTGAGAGGGCGGAGTAATCTCAGCACCAAGAATAATATCACGTATCTCTGATTGTGTGAGAGCAGAGGTATTCACATTGTTCTTTTTTGCATAATCCGAGAGAATGAGGTCCCTCAGGGCAACCTCAACCTTCATCCACTGATCATCATTTAGAGAAGGCCATATATGGTGGGGCTCGGTGACTATCGTTTTGTCTGGCTTCAGTAGCATCTTTGCCTTCTCATTGTTAACATGAAGAGCACGAAGGATTAGAATGAGTCTAGAGAACGCAGTGTAAGATGAGATGCTTTTCAGCCAATCATCATATAAGTTGAACAACACCATTTGAGGTTCTGTTGCCTTCAGAATCAGATCACCGAACTTCTCTATCTTCAGGCATGCCTGGAATGGGAGCTGCAGTTCACTTCCCTTTATGACAATGTTGGGGAAATCGAGCAAGTGGACCTCCAGTGGGTCAAGCATCCCTTTACGGGTGACGATGATCTGCTTTGGTTGTTCTTCAACAGGAAGAGACCTCACAAGAGCTGCAACCTCCTCGGCTGTCTTCCATTTGGCAAGCTGTCCAAGACGCTTCTGTCCTGCCCATACACTAGTGTGAATAACCTGCAAAAGAAAGTTGTGTCATGAACCTAAAAACAGTGTATGCTTTTGGCCTAGTCAAAGATAAAAACAAAAACTAATGCCAACCTTCAGAAAAAGTTGGCCAGTCCTTGGGTTGAATATAAAGATTGCACCATTGATAGGCTTTGTAGTAAGATTTCCTTCAAAAGTCTTGTGGATGGTGACTCGGTAAACGTTAGTGTCATCCACAAACCATATAATTTGATTGCTGAAGATCTCTCCATAATTCTGGGACGAAAGGTAAGGTTCCGTTGGCTCAGAAGAGTACAACTGCAACCCTTTCCTTATTCTCTCTCTCAGCACGTATAAAGCTGGGTTAGACTTCATAATCTTGTTCATCGCCTGAGCTAAAAGAGGCTTAGACCCAGGGAACCAGTTACCAAAGGCAGAATGCAAATTGTAAGCCAAATCAAGCCCAATCATGACACCTGTGCATCAGAAAAGCAACAAACACAAATTAGAATCATAACAAAAAACCTGCAAAACAAGCTGAAGTTTCTAAATAGGTTCAACCCCATACCAGTCGGAGATGGATATATAGACATGTTGTCTGTTGTATAATCCATGAATTTAGCTCGTGTGTAACGCTCAATATCATGGGAGTCATAGTCTCCCCATCTAAGCTGCACATCAATCCAATATTTATTACTTGCTTTCTGATCAAAAACATCTTTGGATTCAGCTACAAGACTAGGTTTTGACATGGGCCATCTGTGAGCAGCAAAGAGGAGAATGTCAGCACAAGAGCTGTTCATCTTGTAACTCTTCCTCGGATGGATTGTCTCCTTCTGTACAGTTTCAATCTCCAAAGCATCCAACTCTTGATCCAAAACTTGACAAAGATCCATAACTACACTCTCATGGATCTTTTGCCACAAGTGAGCACGGAAAATCTGGATCAATGAAATCTTCAAAGTAGGAATCTTCCCATGCATGAAGATGCCGGTTAGATCCAACTGCACTTGGAAACCCACATAAACATTGGCTCTATTAATGGTGGGTGACCACCAAAGAGTAAACCTACGGTTAGGAATTTGGTTGAGACCAGATCTTTGTGCATTTGTCAACTTCTTATACTTCATAGATTCCTCAAAGCCAGAAGCCTTCTCCCAGAAGAGCCCTTCCCAAGTAGGGAAACTGAAAACAAGAAAATTGTTAGAACAATGGTTCGTCTCAAGGAAGACTCTAATATAGTCAAAAGAAGATGCAGCAAATGGATATCAAATTAAGACTAAAGATCTTTCAAAAGATTTGTGTGAAAGGGATTGGTGGAACAATAATATATACACTTACTAGGTTCCTTTGAATAAAGTGTGCTCCAAAATTCCCTCAACACCACCAAGGGCTTGAATAACATCAGTCCGGTAGTTGTTCAAGTTCCACAATTTTCCGTCATGCCTCTGGTGTGTCCACCAGAAGGGATTCTGTTTGAGGACTTGGTATTGCTTGAAATCAGTTCGAACTCTCCATCCTTTATCATAAGCTAAAGTGTGTCGGTCCTTCTGAAACAGGGTATTTATACGTGGAATACCTCTGTCCCATGAATCCTGTAGGTTCCAGAACAGTAAGAAGGCGTCTTACTTATCCACATTCCCAAAGACCACACTAGAAATCAAAATCACAACATATGCGACTCAAAATCGCAAAGATAAATTCTAATCTATGGCACTCTACTACTTGAGCTAAGATTTTATGAGCGACTACGTCGGAATGAAATATGATAGTTGAATGGGGCTGAAGAACAATGAGTGGCCTGAAAAAACCAGAACTTACTTCCAAATCTTCAAGAGTCAACCTCCTATTTTGTGCCTGTGCCTCCTGCCTCTTCAGTGCATACTCGGCCCAAACACGCTGGGAATCGATGAACTCACTCTCCCAAGGCTGTTAGGAAACCAGAATTCGACAATATTATTTGATTAAAGCTTAGGGAGATGTACAAAGCAATCCATCCGCAAGATAAAATTACTTAAAGTTACCTGGATGTAACGATAAAGATTTGGAATCAATTGGTCCTCCTCGTGACTCATCCCACTCCGGAAGTGGGTTACACCAACATCTGTCTGCTGACTATAGCGAAGGTCACTTTGTGGAATTAAAATATGGCCCATTGATAACATGCCAAGTCCACCAATCTCCTTCGGAGTATAAAAGATCACAGGAGGAAACCTGAAGAGATAGTAGAGGATAACTAAATCCCTTAAACTAACAAATCATCAATCCATGACAGCAGATCATAACTTGTGCAGAAGCACATACCTGCTAGGCATTTTAGAATTTAAACCGATCTTTATTCGGGTCTGAATTTTATTTTCACACTTGACAAGTAGATCCAGGAGCTCCTGCGTGTGAACAGTCGCCTCCCTGAAATATGTCATCAAACCTACAACCATGTGCAAAGTAAGTAAAAAGCATTCAGCAGATGGAATAAAACTTCGAAACAAAAGCAAGGTGACCATAATTTTAGAAGTAGAATAACCTATCAGGGCTGTGTTCCACTTGTTCACAATCTTTGTGAAAGTAGTTGATCCTGAAGACATGAGAATTTGCCTAACACGATTCTCAAACACTTTCATATGCTCATCATCAACCCGCAAGAAAGCACAAGCAGTTCTCTCCTTAGTCTGCTCATTCTGCAAGTTCCAAACTCCGTCTCTAGTGTTGCTAAAAGCTTCTTGGGTCATCCTTATCTTAGGAAGTATACGCACTTCAAACCCACACCTACATAAAAAGATGGATATCACCTTTAGCGAAGAACCAGATGAAGGAAGTATAAACTTAAGGAACAGCATTACTGCATCAGCAAACTTTCAAAACAGCAGATAGATCTACATACATGCTGAAAAGTAAGTTGGGGTTGTCTTTGCTGTACACAGAGACGAAGCTGTTTTCCCATTCTAGGGTTGTGATGCTTCTAGGAAGACGATTCTTCATATCCCAGAAAACACTACGACCAAGATTCACTGTAGAAAAGGAAAATACACATGGGTCACTGGAATCAATAACCGCTCAGAGAACAAGGACAACGAGAAATGATTAAGGGACTTGTAAGGGACATACCATCATGCTTCATGAGCCTCATCCTGGCATCCCTGGGCCAGCATTTCTTGTTCTGGTAACCAACCATATTTTCATTGTTGGGATCAGGATGCTCAGTAAGATACCGTTGAATCAGATCTCGTGCCTCGTCATGAGTGAAACGGAACATTATATGAACCTTGTCAATGTATCTGGAATACAGTCTAATGGGATGTCGTGTCTCAACTTTTGTATCCCAGTAAGTCATGAATTCATTTGGCATCTGGGGAGGACCAGCAATCTCACTGGCCCGAGTCAAACCAAGCAGCAGAAGATCTAGCACAAGACCATAATATTGCACAACAAATGAAGCAAACTGAAGACCACGTATCAAACCATACGAGTTTGTATGACTCATATCTTTGTAGGACAATACCACATTGTTCTTTGCTGTAACATAATCTGCAATATTGTGATCCAGAACCAACCGTAGAAGTCTGCACATTAAAGCAGTAACAACGTATTATGTCACAAATCTATTGGAGAATTCCAATGCAACCAGAAAGAGGGCATTACCTATCTATAAGGAGGGAAATAACAGGGGATTACCTATTCAACATTGTCAGGTCAATCTTCTCAAAGAACTTCTCGAACTTGGTTTGAAGCATCACCACACATTGTCCATCACTTGTGTCCCATATGCCTTGCAAATTGTTTATACCCTGACACCATTTGTACACCAGCAGTGGTGGCGGCTCAGAATCTGCAGGTTTTATCCAATTTGGGAAGAGATGACGCTTGTCCCCTTCATACCACAGATACTGATCAAGGTAAGCATCAGTTATCTTTTCGAGTGGTTCAATCTCATAGACTGGAATCAGGGAACTGTACAAATCCATGAACTCTATTCCAACCTGTCCAGAAAATGAGTAATTACTAACTAAACAATGAATGGTGCAACAGGAATCAAAGCAAAGGCAGACACAAATATTAACTTACTTCCTTAAAGGCGCGCTGAGTGAGTAGGTGTCGCTTAATTCGTGACAATGCCTCGTGCGGATTATCATACGCTTGTTCAATAAGACCAAGTTCTTCCCTTTGCAACTGGTTTAGCCTTACCGCTACACTGTATGACTCCTTCAGCCTTTCCAAAGCAAGGATAAGCAATTTCGTGTCATGCTTGTAAGACAGTGGTGGGAATGGTATAGGAGAGAACTTCCGAGATTCCAGCCAGTGCACAGTTGTTGTATAAATGGCAACAGCTTCTTCCGGGGTGACGTACGGCCCATCTTTCAAATAATTATGTTGCCGCTCCTACAAAGTAATTGAACGGATGAAAACCTCAAAAACAACGATAACAAAAAGACCAGCACTAACCATGAGCAATCCCCAAAACAATTCTGACACAAAGTAACTAGCAGATTGGAAATGACCAATGCAGAATTGAACGCATTCGCTACCTGTTCTGCCTTTAGCCAAAGGCGAGTTAAACGTCCAAGGTTCTTCCGACAGACTGTTTTATCAACAGTTGCACCTCTCCTTATACGTTCACGATTGTAATGAGCAACATTCGTCCACCAATCAGCTTTAGCCTTCACATAACGGAGTATCATGTTTTCTATGGGAACTGGCAACCCAGGAACCTTCCAGGGAATGTTTGCTTTCCAACATCGCCAAGCTTCGCTGAGATGCTGCAGTATGGTTCTAGCCTTGTTCTGTTTTATACCCTCTGCAAGAAAAATGACACAAGATTCAAAACAAACATGAATTTAACAAACTCAAGGATGAAGTACGCCAAACACACGCAAAAAGGATGATGGATTACCTGGCATTGCATCGAGAACATCGTGCATAACAGCTGCACGAAGTTCCAGGTCAAAGTGGCTTTCAACACGCTGCTTTGTCACAGTCTTTGCAGTCCCCTTTGAATGTCGCCCCTCAAATTGACGTGCCAAAAGATTCCCCAACCAACGCTCTAGGAGGGGAACTATTCCCCGTAGAAAGAAGAGCCAAACTCGCCACATGGGGGCCCAGAACCCACATCCAGGGCCTTTCCCCACAGGACCAGTGTTGAACCGGTAATATATCAAATGCTTCAAATCTTTGCACATTCTAATTTGTCGCATCAGCCTGTACTTGTAACGATACATCCCAGTCAACTGGCCCACGTGGGAGAAAATGTATTGCAGACCGTCTGCCAGCTGGAATGCATCTACATTACCCAATCGGAACTGAATATTGGCATCGACAACAAGCTTTGTCAGACGCAGAATCTCACGACAGAGATGAAATGCATTTCCAAATCGCGACTTCTTGCGCTCCTTTGTAGTAAGTGTTTTGACGGGCTTCAAATTGAAATTATAGTCCAAGTGAAGGTAATTCAAATTCTTCCTGTGTATCAAAAGATTTAGCATGTTATATCCCTGCTTGCATACTTGAAGACCTGCTTCAGCCCAGTCGAGTTCAGTAGATTGGAAGAACTTGGTGGCTGCTAAAGAACGGAACAAATGCTTCTTCTTCTGAGCTTTTGGTGGTCTATGATGCAGCTCATTCAAGACGAAGCACTTCAACAGTTTCTGATAACTGACGCGTACCTTCACTGGATATGATGGTGGACTGAAACACAAGCAAATAGAAAATTAAGTTACATGATTCCACATCCTAATTTCCTATACCGCAAAACACAGAAGTACCAAAACCTCACCAGTGCTCCTTGTACCACTCGGAAACAAGAGGTATATCTTCTGCCCTGCGCATCCGACCAGATCTAACATTAAAAGGCCTGGGAGCGAACAGCAAGGAAATCCCAGCAGCTGTGGTATCTGTATAGAGCTGTGTCTCTTCTAGCAGAGCTTCCACCCCTTCTGGCAAAGTGAATTCCTCATCATCT